CCAGGCGCGTGGCTGGACGTCTTCCGCGGCTCAGGAGCGCAGCTGGCGGCAGAGGGCGAGCGGGCCCCGTGAGCGCCGCGGTGTGACGGGACACGGCGTGGCCGAACGGGACACGTAGAAGTGTTACTTAACCGTCACACCAGGCACCACCCAGCCCGGGTGACTGGTGTCCGCGGCCAACTCGTTTTGTAAGTACGCTGCCCGGAAGTCATTTTATAACAGTTACGAAACAGCCTCTGCGCTATTTTTCACGTTGAGAAGCGCCTCGTGTAACAGGCAGGCTGTTCCAGAATGGAAGGGTTTCAACAAACTGCCCTGAACTCATTGCTCGTGCTTGAAATAAAAGTGAAGTGATTTACAAGGTGAATAAAGTGGTAAGAAATCAGTTACACCACCAAGCCAAACCACATGCATTTTGTGGCACATCATTAAGCATTTTCGTGTAAAATTCTCAAGATTACAATGTTGAAAGTGCCTTGAGTTGTGTATAAAGGATTTTTTTCAAACGGGGAGAGAGCAGGACAGCATTTCGTAGACACAACTCAACCAGCCAGTGCATGCTAGGCACTCACAACTGCACAGGAATGGCCTCGCTGGAAAAGGCTGAAGGAAATTTCCCAGAAGCGGGTTACTTCACACGGTGAAACTTCTGGCGTCTTTCTGCAGTGCATAAATCCTAGCCAGTCTGTGCGAAGTCTTGGCTTCAGTGAATATTCCCATGCATTCTTCTTGTTTGCACTGAACATCAAATATAGGAGCTGTTATACAGAGAAGACTCTATTAAATGACAAACTCGCAGATTCAGTCAGTAGCAAATATTTAAGTGGGAGCTTAAGATAAATTTTTGCTGGGGAGATCAATCCTGATCTTCTTTTTCCCAACTCTTCCACGTCATGAGACTATTCCTAAACATTGTTAACATGCTAGTAATCTGTCACAGTGTACAAAGTATTTCTGGAAGATTGCAAGTCGGTTCTAAATCCATTGCACTCTTAATACCCACTGTGATTTTTGCAACTGGAGAATTCTGTAAGAGATTTAAAAACTGCTAAGCATTTTGAGAGGTCTCAGAATGTGACACATAGTTGTGGAAGACGGTGAACCTTAAATGGACATCGGCAATTCAGCAGATACCTATCTCCCGTCCTTTAGGGTATCCGTAGCCTCTCATCAGTTTTTTCTGTAAAACAAATGTTAACTACTGGAAGAAAAGCAAAATGACATCTCCAAGAAGGAAGCACTCCAACATACAGTGCAGATTAGAAGTGAGGTCTCAACAGTTCTTGCTTATGTATCACAGAATCCCAGAATGTCAGGAGTTG